AATATCAAATTATTTATTTCAATATTATGTTAATATGCTATAAAAATTTAACTAATTAAAGCTAATGTATCCAACATATATATAAAGTAAAAATTTTAACTTTGGTTAAAATGTACCAGAACCTCATTTTCCTAGCTCACAACCCACAGTAAGACGGAAACTTGTGATGTAAGGTCAACCAACTGTGTAGTGTATAACGTAAAAATAAATAGTGTATGATATACAACTCACAGTTCAAATATTAATTATATATATTAAACATTCAAACTGTGTGATATATATTATTATAGTGTATATTTTTTATTTAATACACAATTGCTTTTTAGTATTATAACGCAAAATTTTAAAATTAATTGAAAAATTTTTTTTTATATAATGCTAAAATTCGTACTAAAATATATAAATTTTTTTACAAAGAAAAAATAAAAAGTACTAAGATCTACATATTGTAAAGCAAATAAATATGTAAATCTATTACTAACTTAAGATTGTTTTCATTGTTATATGATAATTTAATTTTTTATATTGTAACTATAATTTATATTTTATAAACGCTTTATTTATTAAATTTTCTTTCACATGTTTATAGCATTTAACGAATGAATATTTATCAAATTTGATTTTTCAAGATTTAACAAATTCTAACTCACGCTTCTTCTCAAAATTTGATAGTTCCATTAAATAGATTTTAGCCTCTCGTTCTCTTAGATCAATTTCACGCTCTTTTAAAGCTAGAACCCATTCTTTATATTCAAGTTCACTAATTCTTGAAGTTAACTCATTCTCCTTATCATTATTTTCAGTATCAGAATTAACTACAATGCTTTTTCTAGGCTTTTTCTTTGCACTTTGTTTATGACTAATAGGAATTTCGTCTTCAGTATAAGAGTTATTTACATCCCCTTTTTTAGATCCTTTCTTACTAGTAGATCATAATTTACATTTCATAATAATTGATTTCGCCTGTGCATTAGCTTTATAAATAATAAATATTTAAATTATTAATGTAAATATAAATATAACATAAAAATAACATCAGTACTACGTATTTTTATAATATCCTAATTTACCTTGACGTTTATTAGATAGAATGTTACGAGCAATTAGACCTTTGTCCTGTCTCCGAGTAGGTATATTGTATTTTTGATAAACACGAATTGCATTGGATCTTTCTCTATCTAATTTTCTTCCTCTATGTATATTAATAAATTAATAAATTTAGAATTTACATAAAAAATTAAAATTTTTTAATATATTGCATTAATACATACTGTAAAATAGCTATTACTAGTTTGAGATTTTTTCACGACAGTTGCTTAAGGCATAGGCAGCCTCAGCAGTATTAGTATTATCGGGAGATGTTAACCAAATATTATTGTCAATCTTTGACATACACTTATTAAGTGATGCAATAACCCACTTTTGACGATAAAAAGAAATCCAATCTAATAAATATAAGAATAAATAATTTTTTAAAAAAAATTTGCTACTAACCAGCAGTATTTTTATCAATTTTTTGAATATTATTAAATAAATGATTGATTGTATCCTCCGATTTAGCTGTTAGAATTGCATACATATTATTTTTTACAGTATCGTTATATGATTTTTCTCTGATTTTCCTATTATTAAAATATAAAAATAAAATTCATTAAATTATTTTATTAAATTAAAAACACCAATTTTATTTACTTACCTTTTATAATGTACTTTACAGGATTTAAAAAAATGAACTAAATGTTCTTCCCAATTTCTTGTTTTGTCTATTTCATTTAAAACTAATCCTAGACCTTGTGCTTGCGCATAATCCAGATCTGCAATAACACAACCCAACCTTTTTTATGAATATACTTAAATTGAGATGCTAAACCTGTTAATTGAAGTATTAAATCAAACAAAACAAGAAAAATCTTCTGATATGCAACTGTTATTGCACGATTAGTAAATACACGGACAAAATTAAGAACTAAAAATATAAATTATCAAGTTAGTTAGCATTTAAAATTACAATTTATAAAAACTAAAATATAAAAACTAATTTTTTTATACTAATAAATTTTGTAATAAGAAAAAAATCATACTTAGATTATGTTGAGGATTATAATAATTAACCTCAAATTCGTTAATTTCACCTGCAACACATTTGAAAGAAAGATCTATTTGAAAGTGTTCACACTTTATCCATTTAGATAATTGTTCAGATGTAGTACAGATAATCATCATATGATTATCTTCAAAAAATTCTAGTAAAAAATATTGTTACATAAATAATTAATCAATATTATAAAGAATATAATTATATATATTATATATATTTACCTAAACACTTTACATATTCACAAAAATTATCAATATTACATGAATAATTATATATAACTCCTAAAAAACCATGACCTTGTAGATGGATTTCTTTTTGAAATTTATCTACGTAATATCAAAGATAATCTGCATTATTTAGAAAAGCATAAACATCTGCAAGATATTTAGTTCCAAAATAAGTTTTAATTAAATTTCCTAAAAATATAAAATTAAAATTTAATTGTCATTATACATTATAAATATTTGTACTAACTTTAAAAATTGTATTTATATCATCAATTACCAGTTAATATATGAGTTGGTGTAACATTTGTAGTATTAGCATCTGCTTATTGAATTAGTTCTTGTAAATGAGTACAAATAGAAATTGGTACACGGTTGGGCGGTGGTGGTGGATGAGAATGAACACCTCAGGATATCAAAATTACAAATGGGCATTTTTCTAAATTAATAGGAATTAATTTAGAAAATTTAACATTACAAGATTTTTGAATAATTGATCCATGTTTAATAGTATTTCCCGCACAATGAGGATGAGCTATTAAAAAAATAAAATTATATATAGATAATTAATTAATAACTTTAAAAGGGTGATAATTAGTAATTGAATTTAATAATAACTTACAACAAAGTTTTTTTTTAGAGCTATTACTTAATACTAAAAAACAGTTATTTACTGGTTCGTCTGTTTTACCCTAAAATAAATTATATTTTAACTGAAGTTAATAAATTTATAAAGTACAAAATATATTAGAAAAATAAAAACTAAACCTCATATAATCCACTTAAAAGTTGTTGAAGTAAATTAAGGTCAACATTTTCTTTAATACTTATATACCGGTGAAACTTTTCATTGAAATTCCATCTATCACAACCAATAAAATAAGATGGTGGTATTGTTTCATCACGACTCTTTAGACATTTTAATACAGGCCTTCCAGTGCATTTTATATTATCCTTTTTATAGCGATATTCAGTTTGAATTGCTGACAAATATATACTAAATAAAAAATTTTAGCCAGTTAAATGTATTAACGCAGTACAAGTTACACAATTTAAATTAATTTAAAATATATATTTACATAAAAGTATTATTTTCTATATTATTACTTGATAATTCCTCATTCACTTTTAGGCGTAAATCAGAATCAGAATCTACAGACTCGTGTTCCATTTCCTAAAGTTCTGGACTTGCAAATTCACATATTTTAAGTCTATAACATGTTCTATCTTTTTTATTTATGGCAACATCACCAAGGTAACTACAGGTTGTCAGATTTTGTCCAGAAGGTTCACCCATAAGATACTGAATCTTAAAAAAAATAAATATTAGTAATAATCATTTAAAATTGTATTATTTTATTTAATACTTACACTTACATCTGCAAATGCTACGTTTATATCTTGCCACCCTTCAACATGATAAACTATTGCAACTCCATCTTTGCTTGTTGATAGATATTCAATAGGAGTTAATGAATGCAATACAGTTTTAATGGTTATTTGTTTTGTAATATATATTTCAGTATCTTTCTCCAAATCAAGCGTTGTATTATTTAACTAAATCAACTAATATTTTTTATTATTTCATATATATCTATAAAGTAACATGATAATAATAAAGTACTTCCATATTTAAGTCTTCTTCATAAATAATATTTTCTTCATTAATAACTATAGATGACATTTTTAATTATTGTTTAATGCGAACTCTGAGTTGCTGCAATAAAAGGTATTTGAACACGTGAGAATTTTTTTCTTTTGCTTATATCATATTTTAATATGTCACATTATGATCTGTGACATTGTATCACCAACTTTATCAAGGGGTATTACATTAATATATTCTTAATATTTTGCGATACGGCACACAGTATTTGTTTCACAAATCATACATAACACACTTTTTATTTTTACATTATACACTACACAATTGGTCGACCCTACACCACAAGTTTTCGTATTACTCCACAATCCATATGTTTATATATTAATTAAATCATTAATATAGTCATAAAATTTCTTAATAAATAATAAATATTATAATAATAAAAGATTTTCTTTATAAATAATTTTATAATTTGTATTATGATTAATATAACTTAAAGTAAATTCTAAAACCAAAATACCAAAAATCTAAAGCTTAATAAAATTATATAAATTCTTATTAAATATTTAATAAAATGCTAAAACTGAAGAAATTATAATAAAAACTATATTAAAGCTTATTAATATTTATTAAAATTATTATAGAATTTTGGCAAATAAACCTTAATCATAAAATTTTTTAATATAAATTTTTCTTAAAAATTACAAATTTTTAATTTTTAAATAATCTTAAATTTCTTAAAGATAAAACTTGTTATAATATATAATATATATTTAAAATTAATTTAAAAAATATTATTATTATAAATTTAATTAGAAAAGATCAACGCAGCCATATCAGAAAAATTTTAAAGTACAATCATTTTACTACAGTAAGTGAAATGAAGGCCAAATTGAAAAAAAATAATTCTGATCTTGAGATCAGTCAACGTACAATATGTTGCGAGCTCCAAAACTTTGGATTTATTTTTGTACTTCTAAAGAACGTTTTTCTTTTAACCCAGAAAGTGAAGAATATTCACTTATCTTAGGCATGTGACCATTTGTATTACAATTAGAAGAAAGTTGTTTTTTTGATGAAATAACATTCCAGATATTTAGAAACATTATGAATGCATGGTCTCATAATGTGTACCTAATTGCCCTTATGGTAAAGCATCCATTCAAGATTCATATTTGGCAGCGATTTGTTTTAAAGGAAAAATTAGCATTCATTTGCTTACTGAAAATTTGGATCGTCATTTGTATCAAAAAATCTTGAATGACTGTCTGTATAACAACGTGAGTATGATATGCATTCGCAGCTGGGTCTTCTAACAAGATAATAATCTAAAACATACCTCACAAGATATTCAGTATAATTTGAAAAACATCTTTCAGAATGAGTTCTTTCTTAGCCTTCTTGTAACCCAGACTTGAATCCTATCGAAAATGTATAGGCTGTATTAAAGGGAAAAGTAGAGAAAATGATCAAATATTTAGTGGAAAAAAAAATATTACCTGTGATATATTCCTTAATACAATTTAGTAGAAATAAGACAATCTTAATGATATCATATTACTTCGATGCATTTAGAGTATGTCAAACCAGATTAAAAAATGTATTGATGTAAAAGGAGAACACACTAAATATTAATTAAATAATAAAAAAGTAGCTGTTAGTGATTATCTTGTAAATAAATAAAAAAAATTACAATAAAAATAAAGTTAGTATATACTGTAAAAATTCATTTCCATCATTCTTTTCGTTAGTGACTGTATTAATTACAGTTCTTATTTTTAATGAGAATATAAAGATTTAATCCAATATAAAAAAGAAAACCATGAATTTTATCTTGTTTTTACAGGTAATGATGTTAAAATAGGAAATTCAATATTATTTTGTAATAAATGTTCTTTCCAACAAATTTTTCTTTGTTAATTATAAATAAATATTGCTTTAAAATTTGCAACCAATTTATCAACCAATTCAAACTATTAAAATCAATCTATGTCTCTTTAATTAAATTAAGAATATGTGCTAAACAACAATTTTGTTTCATATTTGGTAAAAAAAGAGTTAATGAGAATATGCTAATTTTATATAAGAGTCATTATCTGTTATAAAAAAAATAATATTTTAATAAGGAATTTTATAAAAATGAAGTGTATTATTTATTACAAATTGAAAAATAGAAGAAGCATCTACATTATCTAAAATTTAATTCTAGCTAATTTGGTTTGATTACCAAAACTAAACAAAATATTGACAGCATATTAACTATAACAGTCTGTTGTTTCATCAATTGTTAAATAAATAAGTTTGTCAATAATTTTATTTTGGATTTTTGAATTTTTAAAACATATGAAAAGAGAAAAAAATTTTCACGAAATTGGTTTATACCAGTAATTATATTTCATATAAATAAATTATTATAAAATTAAAATATAAATATAATTTTATAGTATTTTAACAATGTTTTAACAAAAAAGGCTTCAATAACTTCTATATTTAATTTTTCTTTTTTATTTAATGTATTTTCAGATTATTGTAAAGTTCTTTGAATTAACAAAGGAGAATCATTTCTATGATTTTTGTTATTTAGATGTTTTATTATAATTAAATGTTATTTATAGAGTTTTTTTTTTATAATCAACTTTTATATTGCAAAATTAATATCATAATAAATGCATTATAAAATATAATTCTCTTGATATTTTATACTTTGTGCAAACGTATGTGAGAAGTAATCATTTTTTTTAAGCGAAATCATAAGTTAATTTAACGAAAAAAATTTAGATTATTTAAACAAATTTAAATGATGTGAAAATCACAAAATTATACTGAAAATCATGATTATACTAAAATCACAAAAAAAGGTCAAAATTGTTGAAAAATTACTATTAATAAATCCTCAACACCTTAATTTATGTTCAAATTTATTTGATAATACCTATTATGAAACATTATTAAAAACTTTGATGGAATAATCAAAAAAATTTCAAGATGATAATCTGCAATGCATAGAATAATCTGATGCATTATCTTATGAAGAAATTCAACAAATTTTAAATCATAATATATTATGTGAAGATACAACTTAAGTATTAACTAAATGAGTTTATTTCTGGTTATGTTTACTTTTGTGAATTTCGTGATGGTAATACACAAATATTAAAGTTATCTCAAGTAAATAATATAAAACATTAAGGATTTAAAATAATTATTCCAAAAGAAAAAATAATGCAAAAGGTTTAAGAAATCTTAATAATTCAGGACAAATATGTAAAATTCTATCAGATAAATCTAAAAAATTTACATCAATTGCAGATATATTATATTATATTAATAAAAGACCTTCTGAATTTATAACATAAGAATTTTATTTGCAAATAACATCAAAAAAAGATATTTAAATTTTTTATTTTTTATTATTAAATTAATTATTTAATATTAATTTTAAATAATTTACATAGTATTTGGTTTATTGATCATCCACTTAGACTGCATTCACATTAAATAATGATTTGTGAAATTTGTCAAGTTACTGACATATCAATACATTTAAGAAAAATTACAAATCATTCTTTATGACGTATTTCAATTCAAATTCTTACCTAATTAAATGTCTCTGCAGATTATATTATGTCATTTCAGGACATCGATCTTTTATGAAGTAGCATCATATCAACCATTTACTCCTGAAATTTCATGAAACAGTTTCTTTGATTATTTCAGATAATAATTCTTCTGAAGATTCCAGTAATAGCAAAAAGAAAAATGAATCTAGAACTCCTTTAGCTCCTTTACCTATGAATTATGACTCTAATTCTACTTACAAAAAGAAGCGTAATGCCAATTTAAAATCACATGACTGATCAAGACCTTTTAAAGTTCCAAGGCGAATTACTCAACAATAAACAATTTTTAATCAACAAGAAAGTTAATTAATGTAGTAAATAATAAGGCTTTAAATCAAAATGAACTTATTTCTCAAATTAATTTTAATAATTGTCAAAATATAAATGTTCAAATTAAAATTAGTAAATTGTAATCTATATATTTTATTTATCTTATTAATGATAGGAAAATGTAAAATAATAATGTAATGGTAATGATAGGAAAATAATTATATAGAATGGGAAAATAAATACATTGATTAATAAAATGATAATAAATAATATAAATACTTCTATGTGATCATATACAAGACTAGAGGTAGGACTTTAATTAAAATGAGTTAACTTGAGTCATATTGAGTTAGGATGATTATGACTCAAAGAGTGTTCGAGTTAAAGTTCGAATTAGAATTCGAGTTAAGCATTCGAGTTGACCTTCGGAGTTAGTAAATTAAGTTTTATTTAATAAATAAATAATGTCACGATAATTTATATATTACAACATTATTATTTTTGTTATTCCGGTAATTAATCCTTTATTAAAAATTATAACAAAAAAATATCATTACTAAAAAAAAATTGTAAAATTATGT